AAAAAAAAAAAAAAACACCCTAGAGATAACCTTTTAATGGTAAAAGACTAAATGCTTCCCTCTTTAAAAGAAACTTAAGAAAATGGAAAGTCCAGTCACAGACTGGAAAGAAATATTTGAAAAACATATAGCTGATGAAAGAATTTTAACCAGATATGTAAAGAACTCTTACTCAATAAAAAGCATATAACCAACCCAAATTTTAAAATGGACAAGAAATTTAAATAGATCCTTCAGCACAGAAGATGTATGAATAGGGGGGAAAAACCATGAAAAATTATTCATCATCATTAGTTTTCAGGGAAATGCAAATTAAACCCACAATGAGATATCTTTAGATAGCCACTGGAGTGACTAAAATTAAAAAGATTAATAGTACCAAACATTGGCAGGAATGTGAGGCAACTGGAACTCTCATATGCTCCAAAATGGCATGGGCACTTTGGAAACCAGTTGGTAATTTCATGGAAGTTAAAGTGCCATATGACTTGGCTATTTTGCAAGAAAACACAAAACTGAGGTTATTCTTTCAGAGATGGATTTTTGCTAATTTCAAATATATGCCCTTCTGCTTTCTTTCTATGCATGTTGTATACACCGTAGCTTTTTGGTACCCTGAATCACAGTGTAATCTTTTTGAAGACATTTAAAATAACAATTAAACTCAACACTGCAGTATCAACAATGCAAGAAATTCAATTTTAATGGCAGCAAGCATCTCTGACCAAGTTTGCCTAGCCAATAGTGATTGTAAGGCATCATAGATTGTAAAACACACTCCAGAGATACTAAATTAGAAGAATGAAAACATTTGTTAGGATTGGTGAAATGTAGTAATAATAGTAACAATACTTAGAACAATAATATCAGTCACTAAACATAAAGTATCCATGAATTGGAGCCAAACTCAACAGCAACTAACAGAAAGAAGAAGAAGAATTAACTCAGGAGGCTGGGCACTCTATTTCATTACACTAAAATTTGGGGGTCAGATTTATGTCTCCCATTTTTCATAGCAAAAAGTCTATGTCTAGCAATCAGTTACCCCTTTTTTGTCTTTCCTGTCCTTTGAGTTGAAGTGAACTTCTTATGAGATACCTGTCACATCACTGGTTTTACTATAACCAGCTGGTTCTAATTCCACTTTAGGCCAAGTCTCTCTTGGTGAATAACTTAGCAATTTAAAAGTTGCCTTTTGTCAAAGAGGCTGAACAAATTTAAATTACCGAATACTAAGAACATCAGACAAGCGAATATCTTCACATATTTTAGGAAAATGTTTTAAATGTTTATGTGATTTGCTTACTGTTTATGGTATTTGCATTTTTGTATTTTGAAATAATGTTCAAATAATGCTATTAAGGTGGATTTTTATATATTGTATAGGTGATTGGGAGCACTGGAATAAGAAACTCCAGCCATATTATTATCCAACTGACAGTATTCCAGAATATTCATCAATTTTGGTTCCAAATGTTGACAATGTTAGAACAAGCTTTTTGATAGACACCATTGCAAAACAACATAAGGTAAGTTTAGTGGATAGTTTCTCAGATGATTGCAAACCACATGCAAAACACAACAGATAAAGAGATTAAATTCCTGCACAAGGAACTGGAGGTAGTGTCATTTGAGGGAAATATCTTTGGCAAATGAGCCATATCCTAGGATCCCCACCCCCCTCCCCCCAAAAAAAACCTCACTGCCATCAAGTTGATTCTGACTCATAGCGACCCCCATTGGGTTTCTAAAACTATAAATCTTTATGAAAGCAGATCACCCCATCTTCCTTCCACAGAGCAGCTGTGGAACAGCTGACCTCCTGGTTAACAGTCAAATGCCTTATCCACTACACTATCAGAGCTTCTTATGCCCTGGGATAGACCCAACTTAAGAGCCCCTGGACTGCTGATTCCCAGCTTCTTAAGGAAAGTGGGCAGGTCTGCTTATAAAGTTCTTCCATGGAACTCCCAAGGTCACATGAATATTCACCAATCTTTTCTTCTAGTACTTTTATGATAAACATTTCACATTTAAATCTTTAATTCAACTAGAATTTATGTTGATATAGAAGAAATTCTAAAAAGTAATTAAAAATTAGTTCTATTCCTTGATGGAATGTAAGAATGGCCAGTAGAACTATAAGATATTTAAAAATAAGCAGGCTACAACACCTTTCAACATGATTATCTTATGATTGCAGGCTGTTTTGCTCACAGGAGAGCAAGGAACTGCAAAAACGGTCATGATTAAGGCCTACTTGAAAAAATATGATCCTGAAGTACAGTTATCCAAATCTTTAAACTTTTCATCTGCCACAGAACCAATGATGTTTCAGGTAAAACCCATCATTTGCAGTAGTAATCAGTATGTACAATTATTTCAATTGGTTGTTGTAATCAGATGTGAATACATATAAAATACTGTATTATATTAATATATGATGCTAATATCAGCATTGTATTAATTAATATTCTATAATATCAAAGGAAATAATGGTCCAGTTGGCACTCTAAGGCTAAGGTTGAAGTCAAATCCAAATAGCATATTTTGGCCTAATATTGAGGCTAAAGCTGAACTTTGGAGCATATCTGTTTTAATATAAATTAATGATTAACATTCCAATATCTTATTTTTTTCCAATTTCACCTATTTTGTTATGTTTATATGTGTTAAATAAATAAATAATAGTCTACTCTCAAGAAATTGCTCATCCTTTTTAGGAGTACGGATTAAAATATAGTGGATAAGAAAATGTTTCCTTTTGTCTAGAGAACAATCGAAAGCTATGTGGATAAGCGAATGGGAAGCACATATGGGCCACCAGGAGGTAGAAAAATGACTGTATTTATTGATGATATTAATATGCCCGTGATTAATGAGTGGGGAGATCAGGTATGTCTGAAATATTTTATATAGATGGTCTTTAACCAGTATTTGTCATTATATATACAGATGCCAATAACCTTTATATTATTAAGTCTTTATATCAAAAAGTCTTAACACTTTTTAGGCCTTCTGACTTCTCTGTTTGATATTCTTCTTTCTTGGAATCCCTATGTGGTTTATCCCTAATGATCCCCGCTTGTCTTTCTGGCTACTTGACTTCAATGTCCTTTCTGGGCTCCTCTCTTGCTTTTGGAGTCCCTGGGTGGTGCAAATGATTCACCTCACTTGGCTGCTAACCGAAAGATAGGAGGTTGAGTCCATCCAGAGACACCTCAGAAGGAAGGCCTGGCAATTTGTTTCTGAAAAAGTCAGCCATTGAAAACTCCATGGAGTGTAACAATAGCCAAAAAATGTATGTGTGGGTATATATGTACGTAAGTGTGTATATATGTATGTTGTTGTTGTTGTTGTTGTTATGTGCCATCGAGTCGGACCCGACTCATAGCGACCCCTCCTTGGGTTTCCAAGGCAGTATCACTACGGAAGTAGATTGCCCCATCTTCCTTTCAAGAAGTGGCTGGTGGGTTTGAACCACCAGCCTTCTGGTTAGCAGTCAAGTGTCTTAGCCACTATGCTACCAGAGCACCCGTATATATGTATATTGATAGGTATATGCATGTATGGACATGCATGCATATATGTATGTGGGTACTAGCATATATATTCATATACACAATAAAGCACAGAGAGAGCACAGTTAATGATACCTCTCAAATATAACCAAACACTTGATAGGATAGATTTCTGTGTTTGAGGCCTTAGGACCATAGTGTCTTGGGACAACTCAGTCATTTGGCATAATATAGTTCATAAAGTTTATGTTCTACAACCCATTTTGGTGATTAGTCTCTGGAGTCTTAAAAGTTTGTGAGTGGACATTTGAAATACAGCTATTGGTCTCTACTTTTCTGGAACAAAGGAGAAAGAAGGAAACCCAGGACTCAGAGAAGAAACTAATCTACAGGACTAACTATCTGCAAGAACCATCTCATCTACCTTGAGACCAGAAGTCAGATCAGGGCCACAACAGACAAATCCTGATAGAATGGGAGAATAATATAGAACAGAATTCAAATTCTTAAAAAGTCCAGACTTAAGGGATTGGTTGAGACTCGAGGACTCCCTGTGACTATTGCCTTGAGCCTTAAACCTTGAGCCAAAATTATCCCAAGGTCACCTTTTAGCTAAATAACAGATTGGCTCATAAAATAAATAATATTACCCATTAGTACTGCACTCCTTTTTAAAAAAATCATTTATATGAGACCTAATGGTCAACATATACTTTTAAAGCAAAGAAGAAAATGCAACAGGGAAGGGAAACTAGATTACTGGAAAGGGAACAACCAGAACAGAAGTAATGAGAATGTTGATGTTTTGTAAAGACACACTGAACAATGGGCATAGACATAGTTGAATGGGAACTTATTTTGTTGTGTAAACTTTGACCAAAAACATAATATTATTTCAAAGAAAAACAAAACAAAACAATGAAATACCTCTACAGAGCACAGTTCTACTCTGACACACATGAGGTTTCCATGAGTCAGAGTCAACTTGCTGGTGGTTTTTGCTTTTTCCTTCCTCAGAGTTTCATCCTTGATCTTCTTTTAGCTCTTATTCTACATACTCTTCTCTCTGAGGAGTACTTGACATTAAAAAACACATTTTATTATTTTTTTCTGCTCTACCATATACCTCTGACCTAGTTGTAATCATCTGTCAACCCAAGTCACTCCCTGTTAGAGGACCTTCCTGGTGTCGTTAGATGCTGCAGGCTCCTGGTTGGACCCACAGTAGCCTCTCCCACCAACATTCACAGTCTCATCAACACCATCAGCTTTGAGTCCACCAGGATGAGTCCCATCCTACCTTTTATCCCTGTTTACACCAGACACAGCTGCTTAAGACTTTCAGATCAGTCCTCACCCTGAGAGTAATGCCCAAACAGTTCTACAGGGCTCTTATCTGACCCTGTCTCCTACTATTCCCATCTCCTGAATTTCCTAAAGCATGCCTCTGGAATCTATGGTTCATCCACAAGTCCTCTGTAAATTCAACTTCTTCTCTGGCTATTTCCTTCACTTCCTGCTCTCAAAGAAACCTGACCCACCCCCAACTTTCCAGGATACTGCTTTCCCTGCAGACTTCTCAAGTTGAACCCTTTGGCCTGGAAGTGATGGAGGTGTTTCTCATTGACTTCTTTCCTGAACGCCTATCAGTCTGACAATAATTGCCTCCCACCTCATGGGTCCCTGCATCTGGGATCTCAGGTAATACCCCCTAAAGATCTTAGTTCCTGGCTGAATGTTACTTAGTCCTTCATTAGGGCCGGCTTCGTGGGTGCTAGACCTGTCACATAGGACCCTACACTTTGAAGGGGCCATTCTTGGTTTAATGCTCTGCTGTAGCCATCTTGAAATTCTTAATAACTTTTGAACAAGGGACCTCACATTTTTGTTTTGCATTAAGCCAAACCTGTTGCTGTAAAGTTGATTCCAACTCATAGCAACTTTATAGGACAGAGTAGAACTGCCCCATAGGATTTACAAGGCAGTAAATGTTAACCACATCTTTTTCCTAAAGAGTGGCTGGTGGGTTCAAATCACCAACCCTTTGGTTGATAGGCAAATGCTTTAACCACTATGCCACCAAGACTTGCAGCTGGTCCTGACTGTCTGATTCTTGGTGATTCCAAAATCTATAAACATGATCTTGCTTTAGTTCTTTGAAATTTTCTTCACCAATGATTATGTCCTTCATTCTCTGATCACCACCTGGATTTTAGTTCATTCCCTCTAATATCCAGACTCCAACAGGAACCACAATACATTTTCCTATTATCATTTCATTGTCTTCCTTTTCCTCTCATTTCCTTACTTCCTTCCTTACCCAGGTAAAATGCCATGGTCTATCATTATGATAATTTTAAGCCTCAATCTCGTTAAATCCTTGTTAAAAATTCTTGACCTGTTCTACACTCACCTGCACCCATGCAGCTAAACTTGGCTGGAGAAAAACACACAACACTAGTTTCACTTTAAAATCATGATAATGGGAGAGTTCCCACAAGATGGTGGACTAGGCAGAAGGACTTCACAGACCCTCTTCAACAAAGAAAAGGGAAACCAGTTGACACAGACACAGAAGATAATCTTGGACCCCTGAGCCTTGAAGGAAAGGATACAGAAGTAGACTAAACCCCAACTAGCAGAAGAATTTGCGTGAAAAT